GATTCTCTTGACATCGAATTTCCCTATCTTTAGGGTTAAGACAAGGGCGTCGTTATGAGGAATCACCACGCCTGTCAAATCCGCGTCAGAGAACGTAATGCCAAGCTCACCCATCCTGGCCCTTTTACTTGATGGCCCCACATCTCCCTCGGCTACCTTTCTTGTAAAAGCTACCCTCTTGAGGTCGGATTCGAGCTCTTTGGACGTGGGGCGCTCCAGCGGACATACATGGATGACGTCTATGACGTTGTCCGGTTCCTCGGTCGGGGCAAGGGCTCGTTTCTCTTCTGGCCTAGGCTCTATGTATTCTTTCAAATATCCATCTCGGACTAAGCTCTCCAAGAATGACTTGAACACCCTGCAGCTCTCGGTGCGATGCCCGACATCCCGGTGATATGAACACCTTACTTTTTGATCACGGGTGGAGGGGTCGCTTGCATCCTGGGCGGCCATTTGAAGAACGGCTCGTGTTTGATTTTATGGAGCAACCTGAAGATGGGTTCCTTGAAGACGGTGTGAACTCCTCTGGACGAACCCCCTGGATGGGGTAGCAATCCCTTCGGGGAATATCTTCGCGCTCTTTCTCCTTTCTCTTGGATTGGAGGGCTCGGCCTTTGTTGCTTCCCATCTCGTCCTCGACCCTTGAGTACTTGTTGATCCGGGCCATCAGTTCCCCCATATCCGAGGGAGTCTTTTTGGTCAGGGATCGGTACAGGTCCGTGTCCCTCGCCAAGCCGAGCCGGAAGGATGCTGCTGCCATGACCTCCGAGCATCCCTCGACCTCATTGACTTCTTCCCAGTATCGGATGGCGTACTGGCGAAGAGTCTCGGATTCCCTCCTCCTGAGGGTCAACAGTGATCCAATGTCCTTGGGGCGCTTACTCCCCGTGATGAATCGGGTTAGGAACTGCCTTGTCAATTCTTTCCAGGACCCAATACTGTTTGGGGAAGCGCCTCGAACCACCTCATCGCAGAGTCCCCCAAGCTCATAGGGAACACCCGGCATAGAAACCGTTGGTCCGAATGATAGAGGGACATCATCTGCTTATATTGTCTGATATGGGCATCGGGATCAGATCGCCCATCATAGGTCTTGAACCGTGGCACGACGAACTTTCTTGAGACATCCATCTCACTGATTTCCCTCGTGAAGGGTGTTTGCATGACTTCGTCCTCGGCCTCGTCCTGGACGTCTTACCCTTTCTTCTGGAGTCTAATCGGGCTCTGAGATCTACTTCTTCCCTTACGGGATGCCTCCTGAAGTCCTGGGTTCGTCGGTAAGCCCCTCGTTTCCTGGGCGTCGTGTAGATTGGGTTGAGTCCTCCTCGGATTCATCTCCCTTCCTCCGTCTGGATAAACCTCGCCGGAGGTCGTCCAGGGCCAATGGCCTCGCTTTCCTGGAATGGTTGTCAAGATGGCATTCGCCGGCTCTGGGTCGCTTCGGGGCCCTGGAGCTTTCTGCTTTGTGATCCAGGTGGTTTCTTAGATCCTTTGTCTCCGCCTCATGGACGGGGAGTCCTCGGGAAAGGAATGAATCCCTCGACCCTCCGCCTGAGGCGGCAAACTCGTCGAGCCGGCTAAGGACGTTTACATTGTCCTTCTCCAGCTGACGTAATCTATCGCCAAATTTCTCTTCTATCACCTCTGCCAGCTGACGGGCCAAGGGGGCTGATCCTCCTGATCTGATCCCCATACTGGTTTGGGGGTTACCCCCCTTGACCGAGTAGAGGCACTCTTAATCGTACTGGTACGATCCCTCCCTCCGTGATGGCAGGGAGCTTGCAACTCATGACTCCTTTGGTGGGGTCCTTTCCCTTTTTGTCTGGTGTTCACCATGGTCACTGTTCTTTATAGAGAAAAGATTAGGAAAACTACTCTTTTCCCACAGACGGCGCCAGATTGTGCGGGCTAGATCCTGCACGATGTATAAAATATTGGGAACAGATCTCTCCCCTAGTGAACTTTGGGTGAGCCGGTTGAGTGGCCAAACACGCTGCTTGAAACAGCCTGCAAGGTACGGTGGCAACCTGGAACGGCAAAGGGAAGATCCTGGGAAAGGACGAACGACCCTGTAGGTGTGAAAGGTTTTCCTGGAACAAAGGAGAACAAGTTAGAAGGGCGCCGGAGTGTTTTCCGGCGTATCCCCTCCGACGGTCTAGTCAGTCTTTGAATGAGAGAGAGGAAGGAGAAAACACTGAGAAGGATATCTTCTTGGCGAGAGTTTGTGATTGCATACCGGCTTTGCCTTTTGGGAGGAGTATTTATACCTTAGAAGCTCATGATTGCTGTCAGTGTGGTCAGTAGGTGATCATCAGGCACAGGTAGCGTGTGTATTGATTTGATGAGGAATGTCTTCTCTAATTGATTGTTCGGGGTCCCGAGCAATCAATGCTGAGCCGTCGGGACGCCGACGGTACAATATGCTCCTTTCGGGAAGGATGCAATAAATGCTCTGTAATAGGAGCATTTATTGTCTTTCATATCCGAACCTTACCGCATTGAATGCGGTCTCGTCAACAGAAGGGTGCAATTAATTTGTTTGCTTTCCCAAGTCGCGTGTCAGCGACGGCATGCGGTTTGTCTGCTTCTGATGTGACATTATTTGCCACGCGTCTATCCCTTATTGGCTGTGACGTCGGTATTCCAGCATGTTCTGACATTACTTGTGTTAAGACGAGGTCATGATGAATAGTCTAGACTGGCATAGGCTGATGTCCCGTACGTCAGTAGCTTTATCCGGGAATAGAGGAAGCGTCCAGGATGGAGTGACCCTCGGCACCGAGGAAAGACTCACCTCGGGGACCGAGGGCGGTATGTTTCCGAGCTACACGGTGACCGAGGACACGTGTCGTTGAATAATGCACCGAATATGTGATCCTATATGAGAGGTACCTCGGGGGAGAGGACACTTTTTGCCGATGGTGATTGAACCCGAGCAACATTGTTCTAGAATCCCGAGGACACGTGTCTTCATCATAGGACTTTTCAGAAGAATCCCATCATCTTATGAGTACCAAGAGTAAAGAATGCCCATGTAGACTCACTGGCCATAGCGACGCAAGAGAACCTGAACAAGACAATCTGAGTGAAGTATTTGTTAGAGCCAATTGTCTCATAAAACTCGAAGGAAGAGGTCAAGCTTGTAAAGGACGATCCAAGTTTGATGGATCTAACTTACAAGTACTTGCACGAGGGGGCCCTCTCGCACGATTCAAAGGAGGTTGCAAAGCTCAAAAGTAGGTCAACCTGATACCTTATCTTGCAAGGGGAAGCTATACAAGAGAGGATACTCTTGATTCCTCTTTCGATGCATCAATCATGCAGAGGAAGATCATGTTCTTAGAGAAATCTATGAAAGAATTTGTGAAACCCACGTCGGAGCTAGGACGCTGGCATACAAAGCTCTATGGCAAGGATATTATTACCCACCATTATGCAAGATTCGTTTGGCCTGGTCAGGAAGTGTAAGACCTGCCAATTCCATTTTGGCAGGAATGGAACCACTACCCCCTCAAGAAACCTATACTTCTCCTTTATGGATTTAGAATGGAAAGTAATGATGCTACTACACTGACCAACTGCAGGTTGTTCATATCCCAAGGAACCTTTTCCTTTTTACAGAAGGACCTGAACTGGATGAAGATGAGGGAGAACAATCCTCGACTACTTGAGGATAAAGATACAAATCATAGATGGGGAGGCCCTCATTACAACAGACTGATCCACCAAATTTGGAAGAGAACTTAAGGACCTATTAGGAAATGGAGGCTTTGAGACCACTACCACTCTGATAATTGTGGACACAAGCAAGAAGGACGATAATGGACTGGGATGCACCTTCTTGGTCTCTTTCTCAAAGTTTGCTCTGGTTCTCTCTCTCTCTCTCATTTAATGCACCTCACACATGGACGTGTGTCATCCTGCAATAGGCACATCCCAAAACCAAGGCACCAAATAATCACGTCTTTTTGAGAAATGATCAATCATGTCTTTTCAGTTACACGTAACTTTAAGAGCACAATTACACAAGTATGACCTAGAAGTGTAGCCCCAATCAAAGGCCTACTCAAATCAAGCTCTGCTTGGGATTGGAGGAAACTGGTGATACCAAAAGAAAACGTTAGGTCAGATGATGAATATGTCCAATCAGTAGTTCAAATAGTGAACAGGTCAGGTAAATCATCATGTACCTAGCTGACCTTGAAGAGTCTAGTAATGGGACTCTAAAGACTGGGCATCAATAAGGAAATTGCCAAGATGTAAAGAGGATTTTCACCTGCCAATTCTACTTTGGCTAGAGGTCATCATATTTAAAAGGCCACGTCACTTGAAAAAGAAAAAAAATTTTAACAATCAAATATTTTTTGACATTTCTATAATAAACAATAATGAGTATCAATTTATAAAAATACATATATACGCTTTTACAAAAGGAGAACCATCTGCATTCATCTCTCATATCCCTAGAAATAAATAGCAAATTGAGAAATAGCCTCCGGTAGACTAACCTTACTCTTCAACAGGAGGAACTATTTGAACTTTTGCATTGTTTATAGTTTTACTTTTGTATTCACAACACTTGCTTAACACCTCATTCACCTCAAACTTCTAAGTTTATGAAACCATCAGGAGTCGTGGAACATCCTTGTCCATTAAAATTAGGGGAGAGGGCTAGAACCACCATGTAGTGGGAGGATATCTATGTAGCAGTAGCAAAAGATAGACTGTAATCCCTTGATCATTAGAGATTAAACCATCTTTTTTTGGGATAAATTATATTGGCGGCCTTGAAGTATGCACCTATTCTTACTTTGATCCCTAAACTTTCAGTTTTGTGATTTTAGTCCTTAAAACTTTGAAAAAAAATTATTTGGACGAAATTGAGCTATAAAACATTTAAAAGTAGATTAAAAACTTTAAAGGCAGACTGAACGCAACTTGGAAGACCAGCAACAGTGTAAATTTACCGTTGTTCTTTTTATTATATGAATGGCATATCATCATAACTCCTTAAACATAAGACAAAAGTCAATCATCCTTACCCATAAATCACCATGTTCTTCAGCTACCATGTCTAGGGGAGTAAAATGTTGCTTGTTTAAGGCAGCCTTATCCGTCATAGCATGTTTTATGAGTTCACGGACTTTGAGATTAGAAGTAGCCATCAAATGGAGAGGTGTGTTGCCATCTTCGTCTTTCTGTGTCATAAGAGAGCTGATTCCTCTGCAGTTTTTGAGGATACATTCTACCATGAAATCATCCTTATACGCCAGTGCGATGTGAAGAATATTTTGTCTTCTACCATTTACCATCTCACTACAATCTGGGCAGCTTAATATAAGTTTTCTAGCTAGATGATAATCACCTCTGCTAACTCCTATGTGAAGAGCAATATTCTTGTCATTGTCTACAAGATATGCAACAGAATTATCCGCATCTAATAGTTGGGATGCCATAAAAGGATAATCTCCAAATAGTGCATCATAATGGAGTGGACTATATCCATTTTCATCTGTTTCCATCGCTAGAGATTTGTTCAAATCCACTAATTTTCTAGTACACCCTGAGAGAAGGGGATGAGAGCACAAAGATAAAATAATATATACGTATATAATAAAATTGAAGCTCCTGAAAAGCATAACAACAGACTGATTGCTTACATCCATCAATTTATCTTATAATTTATATTTTTAATATTTTTTAATTACAGTAAATCTACCTATGTATATTCTAACATTTAATACATTAATTATACTTACTTATATTTTAACCACTTACTTACATTTACCTAAAAAGAAGAGCACACACTTGTTGTGCGCTGCACGGGTAGCCCCAGTAATACACATGTTAGCAAAATGTCATAGAGAAAAGGAAATCAAACTAATATTGGATCGAAATAGTTTTCTTCTTACAAAAATAATTTTATAGCTTGAAGTACAACTTAGTTGTGCACAGGATAGCGAAGTATTGCAGATAAAGTTTTATTGAGTTGAGTTAGTACTACTGGATTTTTTCTTCTGTTATTTTTTTGGTTCTACATACTAAAATCTATTCATAATTCAGTACATTAATTGAAGTTTTCAAACCAAGTTGGGATAGATCGGATGGAAAGCCATCAAGAGTTACTATCACAATGTCCCAAATTCAACTCCACGAAAGATCTCTAGTTCACCAGATGTGCATGTTTTGTGACTAATTACATACACCCAGAGTTTGGTTCTAGTCATGAGTCCAACGAATATAGCTCAACTAACAACTCCATTATTTAGAAAATTAGGATTTTGATTATTTTTATTGTTGTACCCTTAGTAGGTTTCCTAGATTTGTTCCTATTTTTATGAATCCTTCTTTTGCAACACACATATGTTAAGGGCTAGTAAGGTTTTGCGCGTTGTATCAAATTAAACCACATGTTTCATCGCTTGTGCGGCCCCCGTTAATTTCCTTGAGTTTCGATCTTGCGACCATACTCCCCAAGCGGAGTGTTTCACGCGTTAGCTATAGACCAAAGGCGAACACTCATTATTTACATCATGGACTACCAGGATATCTAATCTTGTTCACTCTCCATGCTTTCGCAACCCAGCATCAATAAGGGACCCAAAGAGCTACCTTCACTTTTGGTGTTCCTTCGTAGATTTCCGAATTTCACCCCTACACACGAAATTTCACTCTCTTTTGTCTCACTTAAGTGAATTGGTTTCGAGAGCATTCCGCCAGTTTTTGGCGACTTTTACTTTCAACTGTTTTTTTTTTTTTTTGTAAATAATACTGACACATTTTATAAACCATTCATGGTCGATTGCCCTTCTCCATGCCCTTTAGAGACAGCATTCTTTTGGATGTTCAATTCCTGTATTTTTCGCATCCTAGGAGCAAAATAATAGTCATGTAGGTTTTTGATCAAAATTCGGCCCAAATTCAAATCCGATTAGTCGGATATGATTTGTATACATTTTTGCCAATAATTCGTATTTAAATCCATTATATCATATTATATGAATTCAAATATGGATATACTAATATCCAACCCTATTAAGATTTGATCTGAAATTTTTTTATATAGGAAACTAATTACATGATGAAATTGAAGGATTATTTAATAAAATTTAGCCAAAATTGACATGAAATCTAAAAAAAATCAGCATAAATAATAATTTGGATCGAATAAGTTTTGTATTTATTATGGATTTGGTGAAATACTATCTATGAAAACAAAAATCATTGATATACGAATTAATTTCATATTAGAATTTTTATATTGAGTTTGGGCACCAACGGACATTTGGTCCAATGATACTTCTCACCTTATAAAAATTGTGTCATCTTAAAGTCAAGGGTTCAAGTCCGAACTCAATATTTTTGATTGACCTAATGATGTAAATTGATATACCTTGACTTCTAAAAATTACTGCGCCGTGTAAAGCTGTACTTCCATCCGGGCCACCGTCAGGTGGTGGTGATTTGCATAGTTCCAAAATCACTGCAACCAAGTCGTGATATCCTCTCCAGGCAGCAATATAAAGTGGAGTCTCCCCACCTATGTTGGTGGTATATGAAAAATCAAGAGTCTTCTTGTAGAATATACTTGACCACATCAAGGTGATGATACTGCACAGCGTCATGCAAGGCTGTGTCTCCCTCTTCATTTCTCATCCTCAGCATCTCCTTCACTCTTCCAACTCCTCTAATTTGAAGCTCTATGCTGCGCATCCGAGGAGTGCCATGACAACGTCATAGTGTCCATTCCTTGCTGCAATGTGAAGCGCAGACTCACCACTCGAATTCACCTGATGCAACAATGATGGATGCCATGATAAGATCACCTTCACACATTCTATCTTACCGAATTGGGATGCAAGGTGGAGAACCGTATTTTTGTTTGGAGTCACTTCATCCGCAATTTGGTTGATGTTTTGGACAAGAACATCAACGTTGCCGGCTTCAACAACAATGTAGAGTTTAGGATTCATGTGGATACTAAGCAACTACTATTGTGGACCAAAAACTTTATTTTGTTAATAGATAGGCCTGCCTCTTCCTCTTCACTATGCCTAGGGGCGGCCCTGGTTGAAACTACTAAGAAACACCCAAAGGTCCCACAAGCTATTGACACATTCAAACACACGTCGGAGACACAAAAAGGAATGGCCGACCTTTTTTTTTATATATGTTGTTGAGTTTTCAACACATCCCGGAGAGAATGAATACTTTTTTTTAATACAGACACCTTATGTATTACTCTTCTTTCAAACAAACACCACAGACCAGTAGAAGTTATTTGGACGCTAGTCTATCACTTGCCTTGGGTCATGTGAGAAGATGTATTCTTTACCTTGGGTTTGGAACAATTGGTTTCCACTTTACCTACTCATGGGTTGAATTATAAGACAAATCATAGCAGGAAATAAACGATTAGTGAATATTGGTATTGTGACTGCCTAGTTGAATACTAAATTAATGTGTTGACAAGTGTACTTAATACGATTTAATATCTACCTTAGTCTTATTAGAAAATTATTGTACCATGTAAATAAGTGCACTTCACTTAGTGGATAGGAACTCCACGTAACAGTGATAAGGTGGTGTAACCATCAAGGACGGAGCCACCTTTGGAAAACACCCTTTGCCTTCTGCTTGTTTAACAATAAATGTAAGATCTGGGCCTACTGTACAAGTAAATATTGACTGCAACGGTGATACCATGTCACCATTGATGATATGGTATCACCAATTAACAATAAAATTTCAAATGAGAAAGGTGAACCCCACTTAGACTTACATGACAGAAGAATATAGAGTTATTTGCTTACATTACATGTTAGTTATTGATTTTTATGGGGTTCATCTGTTTATTTGTTTTATTTTTATTGATTGGTGATCTTACATCACCTTGCTACGTGGTATCAGAGCTTCCAACGTCACATTATAATGGTTCCTCCTTCAACATCCAAGTGAATAAGGGCAAACTTAACACATTGTTACCATTCAATTAGCAAAGAGACTAAATATAGGGAGAGAGAACCATGAGAGTCAAAATAAATTATACATATCAAGGAGTTGAACAAACTAAATATTATTTAAATTCACTTGATTGAGAGTAAAAAAATCTATTTTGATGGTGTGTACTGCACAATTGAACAAAGTGGTGATCTTTTGGGGTTTGGGAATCACTAGATGGTCCAGTCAAAACTCTTAGGCTTTTAGAGATTGAACAACGTGGAAGTAAAGGGTCGGAGACAAAAGGCTTATAGTGATTCTCTAGCTCAAGAACCCAGTTAATCCACTTTAAAAGAGTCTCTTGTTCTTTAAAGAGTTTTCAATTGATCAAGGGGGAAGATTACATAAAGTATTTACACAAATTATTGCTTGAGTTCCATTGTGAGGGATATGCCCCTTATTTATAGCCTTCAAAGGCCTTGCCTGATTTTTTGGCACGATCCTTGCCCATTCTTTGTAACGGATGCGTCTTTTGTGCAGTCATTGTGGATAATGTTGAGGCGGTTGCGGCTCACTTGCCTGAATGTTAGATTGTTACGATTTATACGTAGCCTTCTGATGGAAGCAAGTTGTCGTCCTCATTGTTCCCACAAGGACCTTGTCGTTGGAGGTCCTTGACCAGCGTATCCATTGTTGCTTGATGGTGAACTGTGTGGTCCGAGTTCAGATGTTTGAGCTCAACCTTAATCAATTTTTGGGTACCCGCATATTCTAAATGTGAGAAATTATGAAATAGACTTAAATGAATGAGTTTCTTTGTGGGAGCAAATTTATACTATGCAGAAATCTATTTGAAAAATTTTGTTCCAAAATAAAATTGAGCGGGAGCAAAAGCCCGAGTGGCTCCGCCCCTGCAAGTGAGCCCTTCCCCCGAAGTGGCTCAAATAATTTTAATATGATTGATTCCACTGGTTATCCCTTGCCTGACCACGATGAAGTCCGATCGACTTCTAGAGGAAGGTTCTGCAAAGAGCTCATATACACAACACAAGGCCCAGTCTCCACAAACTGATGGGGGTTTTTAGGATAGTAAGGATAACCATTACAGGGGGCGGGGTGGGATTTGTAAAAATATTTGGGGACTAAAGTGAAATTTTTTAAATCTTTGAATATGTTAAAAGTTGCCCCACTTAAATTTTAAAAACATTTAGAGAATAAGGTAAAATTTTTGAAATTTTAAAATCATTTAAAAATTGCCCCCATTGAAAAGATTTTAAACTCAAGGCTAGTTACGTATTTTCTCAAACAAGTGAAATTCTTCAAATCTTTAGCAACAACAAAAAAATACATTTACTTTTACTTTTCAGAGATCACGTGATTCCCCAACTGAAATTACACATAACTCCCTAGGCTGAAATTCGTCCACCTCCCTCCTCTCTATTTCTCTTCGTTCGACTTCCAAAGATCCAAGAGACTTCCATAGCTCTGCATATGTTGAGAAAGAATTTCCAAATATAATTAATGATCATACAATGCTTTTCAAAAATAAAAAATTGTTAAAATAATTGTGAAGATTTTCAAGAATTTAGATATTTTCATGTGTAGACTCAATTCATAATTGAGCACTATTTTTTTTAGTACAAAAATATTTGTTTTATACAACTTTATAATGAGTTTTTTTTTTTGTCAACTTTGTTTTATGACTTGTATATAAGTGTAATTTGATGAAACTATACTTGTATAAAAATAGTGTTAACACTCGAGTTTGACTATTCACATATTTGCCCCTAGAGGTAGCAAATGAGTAGGTTGAGTTGGTTATGGGTCATTCAATATGGGCCGGGTGCAAAACAAATTCAATCCATTTTTAATTCGGTTAATAAATTGGTTATAATAGGTTGGGTTATAACGGGTTGAATTAAACTCATTAACATGTAAAATAATCAAAACTCTTAATATGAACACATACTAATAATAAAAATAAACATACTAATATACGAAAAAATACACTAACTTTATTGATGTTGTGATCGTATTACTGTTTTCAACTTAAATGCTTTCGTTCAATGTTTTATGCTATTATGTATGAAATGAACTGTTTTGATATTGTCCAATTACATAAAATTAAGTTATTTTTCAAATTCGTTTGCCTGAAAATATAGTTACTCTACTGAGTTATTAATGCTCACCCTGCAATTTTTTTTTTTTTTCAAATTAACAAGTGACGAGAAAGTTTGTAATTGTACGAACTGTCAATTTTTCATCGAGTTGTTTGACTATTTGTAGTAAAGGGTCATAATTGGATAATATATTACATCTAAGACTTGTAAATTATAATAGGCTAGATGTCTATACTTAAAATATGTATAAAATTAGTATCAGAGTTTATTCATTATTTAGAGACTGTTGACATGTGTTATGAACTGTATCATTTAGTGATTGTGAAGGTTATTAGTGCTCTAAATAGGTATTAGTATATGGTATTGGATCGGGGTTTCAAATAGTTGGAAAAAATTTGGTGAGATTGATTCTAAACCTCTGCCACTCCACACATCTACGACCCTTTTTGGTATGCCACCACAAAAATAAAAAATAACTATCTTTTAGGTCAATTCAAACAGTGCAATAGTCCATAAACAAGGGTATAAAATTCTTTGTAACTATTGCCTTAACCCTAAGCCATAAATCATGTGGTTTACATTGGTAGAATATATATGGCTAAAATTCGAGCTTAATGAACTCCTTATGATAGTATAGATGGGTAGACCTCTGAGGTTACTAGCTCGAGATCTCAAGTATAAGTCTCATAAGAGACACTCTAATTGACACGATACACATGATTTACGCTTGTGAATGAGCATATTCTGAAATTATGTTGTGCTTGGGAGTCGAAGCATAAGTAATAATTATTATAAAACTAAGCAAATTAATGTAAGTACAAATAACTAATTCAAGCAAACAAATTGAGAGATAGAAAAACGGTACTGATAGTGAGAGAAGGATGGAGATCTATGTTTCATTTGGTGTATTATTCATTCCGAAGTGAAAGGCCTATTTATAGGCAAAATACATAACTTTACTGCACTGTCGATAAGAGTGTAATTATACATAGACATAAATGTAGTGATGGTCATCCATCTACCGCCCATGTGTCAATCTCATTTACAACACTATTTGGCACTATGTGTTATTATTTGAACTCGTTTGGTAGACGTATTATGAGTGGATTAAATATTTGATTATACTATTATTTATTTAATCGGGTCTAATACTTTATTTTGTAAACAAATTTAATTTTGTATTTATTTCAAAAACGTATACTAATTGTATATTTATGGTATATTTTTTGTACCATAAACATGTATTATAAATATATTTTAATATCATCATAAGAACTCAAATGTATTATTGTGCACATTTATTATTATAATCTCGCAACTGATAAAATCCAATAGTTATTAACGTAACACACACTTCAATAATCATTCGTGTTGCTAGTATTGCCTAACACTAAAATTTATTAAAGGTATTTTTATTAATTCAATATTAATATGATGAAACAATTCACTAACCAAACAACATATTGGACTAAATAACTTATATTGTGTATTTTCAAACATTAATAAAATAACAGATTATTCTAATACCCCATTTAAATTTGTTTTTTGTATATCTGTATTGTATTAGATTATATTTTTTTTATCCAATTCATCAATTTTTAATACGAGAACCAAACGAATCCTTTTTATACAATAGTCATTTGAATTATACACAGTATTTTTAACAATAATAAAAATATAAAGGAGAAGAAAGTACCAACCAGGATTTTCATACAGAAGAAAAGCATTATCTAACAGACAGCACCAGAGTTACCCATCCTAAAACAGTGACCAAAATACCAGGTTCTTAGAATTGGCTGTATCCAGATAACATTTAAGGATTGTTCAAATCAGAAAAGACACTTAAGTAAAGTGTTGTAGTCTCACTCAGCTTTGGGACTTGGAAAGTTGCCAACTCTTTTGATGCATGCCCTAACTGCTAGTCTAACCCACCACCTTGAGCATCTCTAGTTATCCACCAATAAGCAATTTGATAGAGTTTGTTGGTATCTACCAATAGGCAATCTAATAGAACCTGATTACGTATTTGTATGATAATACCTCCCGATTCTTTCGGGATTTTCACTCCTTCTGAATTTGATGATTTAATATGATATCGTATATCTGGTAACCCAATGTATTAAGTTCAAGCCTCTCTATCTGCGTATGATACACCCATTGTATTTGTGTAGGACAATGCACCCCGTTGTAGAGGATCACAAATGATCACGATATTCATGTCATTCTAACTTTTTGCTTCTTTTATCATCTACCTCGTCACGTGCGAGTAGACATTACATATACAAGAATTTGTTGGAACTTATTAACAATCGATATAATAACATCTTCCAAACTCGTGGGTAGCTCTCCAGCTCATTGCTGGTGTGGCACCTCAAGTCATCTACCTATGAGTAACCCTGTTGATGTTCAATAAAGATAAATAGTTGACCCTAAGATTAATCAGCCTTACATGTGTACTAGCTAATGCAGCTACTGTTCTATCACTTGACTCAAAACAACCATGATCTCCCAACACAAACAACTTCTATCACAACTCTATAAATACATTACACACTCTTTTGTTCATTACCAACAAACTAAGCAAAGGTAAAAAAAAAAAACGACAACATGCAGGTAGAGAGAGTACAAGCTTTGTCCCATGGAGGCCTTCACGAGCTACCTGCACAATTCATCCGGCCAGCCCACGAGAGGCCGGAGAACAGCAAAGCAATCGAAGGAATGACAGTGCCCGTGATCTCATTATTGCTGCCACACGATGAGCTTGTGCATGAACTATCAAAGGCGTGCAGCGAGTGGGGAGTTTTCCTCATGACTGATTATGGAATCTCTGCATCTTTGATTCCGAGGCTGCAAACAGCTGGGCAGGAGTTCTTTAACCTGCCTCCGGAGGAGAAAGAAAGCTATGCAAATGATCCTTCCACAGGGAATTTTGAAGGGTACGGGACAAAGATTACCAAAAATCTTGAGGAAAAGGTTGAATGGATAGACTACTTTTTTCATCTCATGTCACCTCCTTCTAAGGTTAACTATGAAATATGGCCCAAGAACCCTCCTTCCTACAGGTACATAGCCACATCTGTATGATTTATAAATGTTAATATAAGTCGTTAAGGCTAACTTTGAGAAGTTATCACATTGCATTATCATGATAGAAAGATACGAAAGAGGAGCAGGGTATTATTTATGCGGACTGCCCAATATCCAGAGAGTGAATATGAGACTATTAAGACATGAAAAATGTCAACTAGAACAATAAAAAAGCTTTTTTCCATCACAAGGATATTACATATTAAGTTTCCAGCTTCTATGGTGTCTTTTAGTTCTACAATTTTACGAGCCAGAAATCGTGTCACAGGCAATGTTGTGCACATACACTCATTTAGAATAAGATAATTCTCAGAACATCTTGGAAAATTTTCTCCAAATAAATGCAATAAAATTTATTTTTCTTTCATATGTGAACACAGAGAGAGAGAGAGGGACTGTTAAGATGAGGGGTTACATGTATTTTTGTGTGGGAGTGATTTTGAATTACCAGACAGTTGAAAGGAGAAACAAGATATACTTTGTAATCGACAAAGCCGTATTCTTTTTTGAAATATGTATATAGCATAATCATGACATATTCAAGAGCATAAGCTTTATTCTTCGTTTTTCTTTACATGTCAAAACAAGTATTTCATGCTCATAAATGAACAATAACATGTGTAATAATGTCAAACAGGGAAGTGACAGAGGAATTCAATGTGGAAATACTGAGGGTAACTGATAAGTTATTGGAGCTATTCTCACAGGGATTAGGGCTGGAAGGGAAGATTTTAAAGTCGAGTTTGGGCAGTGAAGAAATTGAACTTGAGATGAAAATAAACATGTATCCACCATGCCCGCAACCTGAGTTGGCCCTTGGTGTTGAACCCCACACAGATATATCTGCCCTCACAATACTGGCTCCAAATGATGTTTCAGGCCTTCAAGTTTGGAAAGATGGCCATTGGGTAGCCGTGAATTACTTGCCAAATGCACTTTTTGTCCACGTTGGTGATCAACTTGAGGTAAAGTTCTCATTTTTCCTTTTTTCTTTTTCCTTAACTAGGATAAATATGGACATCATAGAGCATTCAACCAATTCTCCCAAGCGTATACAATCTCCTATCTCACATGAATCAGATAATTACTAGGACAAGTCCCCAGATGACCCTAAGAAGATACTCACAGACAGGATCTCCGACTTACCCAGAACTAATAGAATGTTACCAAATATCAAGTGGAAAATAAAGATATAATTGAAACAAATTAGGAGGAATGGGATGATAGTAATACTTACCTACCACATATCAGCGAAATGGGAATTTGGTGCCAGGTTTGGATCCTGAATGGCTGTATTGAATGAAATATGATGTTTTATAATAATGTTTTGAACATATTCTGCAGCAATCTAATATATAACCCTTGTTGAAAAGTGATTAGAGCTTCAAATTATCACTGAGTTGTCTCTCACTGATCCAAAGGCATAGGAATAATTAGCCAGAAAACAAGTTAAAAAACGGGTTGAGAATTAAACATGTAGCATCCTTCCATTAAATGTAGAAAAATATTTTCAGAGGTGCTTAGGTCTGTTGTCTAGGCTGTTGTTTCATTGTCTTCCACCCAGAAAAGAAAGAGATTTACTCTTTCTGTTTTTAATTTTCGTGTTAGAGAGGTTTATTCTTTATTCCAATATTTTTTGGGAAAGTAATTTTCCAGATTATAGTCTGGAAACCCACTATAAGAGAAATTAAAACACATACACATCGAAAAAAGACAAATAACACAACTATAAATCTAAAATACGACAATTTAGAATGTACAAGACATTAGAATGTTGCAACTCACTTTTTTGTTTAGGTACTAAGCAACGGGAAGTACAGAAGTGTTCTCCACAGGAGCTTGGTGAACAAGGAAAGAACCCGCATGTCATGGGCCATCTTCTGTGTGCCTCCAGCTGAAGCAATCATAGGTCCTCTTCCAGATCTCTTGGACGACAAAAACCCAGCCAAATATTCAACCACAACATATGCTGAATTCCGGTACCGTAAATTCAATAAGATCCCCCAGTAGCAGCTGTCTCATGCAGTTTGCGCGAAGGAACTGCAAAGTACTGAATCTCAGCCATTTATATTTCCTTGCAGTCATTGTGCTCCTATATTATTAGCTACTTTGGTAACAATTCTGGCTACTCTTTGTGCATGATTTTGGCTTGGAAACTGTTTCAACCCCTGCACATAGGCTGCCTTTATCAAAAAGCTTATTTGCATTAGAGTCGGATGTATGTGATCCTTGTTCCTCAGTAAGACCAATCAAACAACCAGAAAATGCAATAAATATCTCATAATTTCAACAGCCAAAAGTAAACTCCACTTTACTGCAAGGTTACTGATAACAGAACAATCAGCTTACTCCATCCAGTAGCCTGAACTTTCTCTCTTCTTTTTGATGGTTTTTGGTGCACATGCTTCAGGATGACTTCATAATGCTAATGAAATGTTTGAGGATGACTCCATAAAGTAAGTGAAAGTGAAAATGTGTCTCCAGATAAAGATGCTTATAAAAGGAGGACCTATTTAACCAACCCCAAGGGAACTATGAAAGGAAAAAAACGTAGCTATCATTATCAACAATTACTGTAAGATGGTAAGATGCCAAAAATAGAGAGTGCACCTATATTCAGCCATTAGCATCAAAAAAACCAAAAATCATCTAACACATAAAAACTTTGAATAGGACCTGAAGCAACTTCAAATTAGTGCACTCAAAATATATATACAAAATATTTTATACCACAGGTGTGCATGTTTCCCTTAAAAAATGAAAGTAGAGTCTACTTGATGTCTGGTGCAAAATGCCACCTAGCAAATAATAAATGAGGGAAAGGTACAACATGCTGGTAACGGGTATCGAAATTTCAGGAAGTGCACATCTTGGCAGTTTTTTTTTTTATCTCGGAAGTCAGCAAGTGCACATAATGTAACCGTATAAGAGGAGCATGTAAAATCGCAAGGAAAAAACTTCCAACTGCTTTTATAGAATATGCACTGTGTTATTTAAACCAAAATTTTTTGCTGCTTCCTTGTTCATACTCTCCAAAAATCTCATTGACCATCTTTGCATGTCCTCCTTTGCTTCCCATATCTTGCTCTCTCTTTTCCCAAGTCCCATATGCCCTTGACAGTTAGTTCTGCACCCAATTTCCAGTTTATGGGCATTCCAACTCCCTACTGAACAATCGAACATATCATGAAACAGTTTGACGCAATCAAGCAGATGGAAGTTGGAGTGACTCAAATAGATTTTCACTCCATTTCTCTCTCACCTACCATGAATTCAAGTGGGACCCATTACATATAAGTGGGTCTCTCACTGGTGCATGGTGGGTGAACACCAAGGATGGAAATAGAGTGTGCAAGTATTAGAGGAGATCTGGATACATTGAAGCTAACCCGTTGCTTTGTAAATTTCCCCCTCCCATCTCCTTTTCTCTTCCTCCTTCGAAGGAAGAAAAAGTAGGGGAGACATACATACATAAACATGTATCCACTTTCGAAAAAAATATATATACATGTATCCAAGCTCTGTTCAACAAACTGAACCTTATATGATGCGCGCGTCAAATATCAAAATACAGATTCATGCAAATGCAACACTTACCTATGTTCTTCCATTCTCATTTCTCACTCAAATTACTGAGGTTAATGTTGTTCAAAAATTAGTATAAGGGAAAATAAAGTATCGGTAAGGTGTGAGAGTTCTCATCTTGTGCATTATTATCTAGAACTCAATCCATAATAATGTCCAACACACACACACATATATATTTACATGATAATTAACACTAAGTTTGGATGATGCTCAATCCATGCTTCACAATATGTACTTTTTAATTTTTATCCTAGTATGCTAGAGTATTGAACGATATTTTGAACTGATGTCTGAACCACACTAGAGACCTAAACTGGGAAATGGTCACTTGAACAAGATGAAAGGAAGAAAAGGATTCGCTCTTGGGAAGTTCTTTGAAGGAGTAAGGTAGGGACATTTTTAAAAAAAAAAAAAAAAAAATTCGTAAGGTGTCTTTCTCATCTTTGTTCCATCACCTTTATCAGCTTTCCAGACCTCATAGTTCTTCTATTTCTAGCATATTCAAAATAGCTCCTAATTCTAGGTGGAATTCTAATTTTTGAAGAAATTCGAATAAAACACAGAAGTTGTAGAAATTTCTTAATTATAGTCTCTTCTAGAGTTGGTGTCTGTGGAAGTATACTGTTCTGATAAGAGATGCTGGACTTTTGATTCTTCAGCAATACGCTCTTGTATATTCTTCTTTCAGTTGTTGAACCATGAGCAGTCATCTCCTTTTTTTCAAGCCCGCTCTATCAATTTGGCACACTAAAATACCATTGAAGGTTCAAATTTTGCTCAGACTGTTGCTTATGGGAAGACTAATACTAGTGATTTGGTTCAAAGGAGGAGTATCTTTAACCTCTCTCTCAATTAATGTGTTATTCGTAGGGGGAGCGATACAACTATTGACTATGCTTTAAGGTTGTGGAATAATTTGTTCCTGGAATTGACCTTAGATGGGGTAATTCGCAGCGGTTGTGTTACATTCTCTTAGGACGAAGTTGGTGTTGGGGGGTTAACCAAAAGGACTTCGATTCTGTACCAAAAATCAACACGTTCACCTTTTATTTGAAAATTTGATAAGGAACAGAGACTGTCCCTTTCTTAGTTATCTACGGTCCAAATTAGAGACAAACCAGGTAGAATTCGAAACAGTTGACATAAAGGTTTCAGACTTCTACATAGCATTTCTATTCATTTCACCAGTACCCACAATGATTACTGAGAACGGCTTCATCTTGATCCTAGTTAGCTACTTGCCAATTGAATTCATCCACGTAAAGAAAGAGATCGTGAGAAATGATAAAATCTCAATCCAATTGACGAATTACTTAATTAATATCTTGGATCCTGTTTGCTGACTAAGATGTGCAGATTTCCAAAACAAACTCTAAGAAACCATCAAAGAGACTCCTAACAAATCCCAGGGAACACAGACATTTATTAATACCTGTATAGTCTGAATATAAAGAATTAAGAAGGTGACAAGATGAGAGGGCGTCATATTCCTTTTAGGAATTCTTTTATCAACCTTTACATATTATTTCCTAAATGCTGAAGAGGACTCCAAAGGTAATAAGATAAGAAGCCAATGACTTGTTCATTGTATAGAGGATGCTCGAATGCATGGGCCATTTCACATTTGCACTGTCATACAAACAAACTCATCTATAACATTGATTTTACAATTTCCAATAATAAAAGGATGACAAAAGGCGGAAAGCAGGAGTGAAACCATTTCATCGGAGTTGTCATAATAAGTATGCATCACTGAGAAGTGGAGGGAAATTGGAAAGGGTGATAATGAACGAATACCAACCAACACATATCCAACCTAACTGGAGCCTTTTTTCCCACAACTGAACTACAGATTTGAGGTAGAGTTGAGAACATTTTATCCAACAAGCAGACCCATATTCCAAACATTTGTGATAAAAAATTAGAACAAAAAGATTGCTCTTTTAGAACAAGCTGGAAAGCATCTTGTGGCTTGTAGTTTTGATTGTTCTTTTTCTTTTCTTTTTTTAAGGTTCTCAATGGCCAGTCTTGTGTTGGACCTCTTGTACACACTTGATGTGGTTTTTTTTTGTAATGTTTCCCTTTATTAATAATAAAGTGTTGTTTTCCATCAAAAAAAAAAAAAGAAATGACAGACTTTAAGATTGAAAAACTCAAATTGTTTCTAGAACAATAATATAAATACAAGGGTTGGACAGTTCAATTGGGTTGAAAAACAGAACTCCAGTGGACTCAATTGGGTGAAGAATAATGTGACACAATAAAGAATGACAAGGAACACATTGGCCAAATGGACTTCTTAAGTTAACATTGTATGGGTAGCCACTTGCAAAATGCACTTGACAGCATACCATTCCAGCACCCACCTGTTGAGACTAAAAGAATAGGACAATACTGATCAGATGTTTAGCACAATAGTAAGGCTGGAAGAACAACTCCCGAAGGGAAAAAGAAAAGGGAAAGACAGGACGAACTCTAAATAACATGCAGTTAACTTCCTCAGGACTTGCAACCAACATGAACCAAGCAATTTTTAACCACTCGTTAACATAGAATACAATGTCCAAGTTAAGTACAAAGTACATAATTATCTTATCCACAAAAAACTAAACACTCTAAAAACCTCAGCAACTGAACACCTATCTTGCTCCTGAGATTTGCTGTGATGAAACATAAGACAAAATAACATTTGAGCCACTTATTGAGCTTGTACAAGCAGTATTTGCTTGTTGATACAACATAGTATCACTCTGCCCATTGGTCTCTTCTATTGTGGAAGCCTCAGCGAACCGACGCCCGTAAAAGCGCAAGAAATTCAAAGATTCCACTATTGGTTCACTCAAAGGAAAATCTCCTTCCAACATGCCAACAACACTAACCATATTTGGCCTCAGTGCAGGTTCCTCATGAACACAACACAAAGCCACGCGGACCAACTTCTCCACCTCTTCACTATTGACCCGCCCCTCAAGCCTTGGATCAGCAAGTTCCAAGTACCGTCCTAGCTCATGCATCTCCAATGCATATAAAGGGAAATAAACAAGTCCTCTTCCTGATGAAGAAGATGAGTGGCCACAACCACTATTATCTTTGTCCATGCTGTGGCTTTGTGTTCGTGGAGAGCAGTTTTTCCTTCCACTTACAAGTTCAAATAGAACCATTCCAAAACTATAAACATCAGTTTTGTCTGAGATTGCAGAGTTGGTAAGCCATTCAGGAGCGAGGTAGCCACGAGTGCCCCTCATTGTTGTGAATAGACTTGATTGTTCAGGGGTTAGAAGCTTTGAGAGCCCAAAATCAGAAATTTTTGCATGGAAATGATCGTGTAGGAGAATATTCTCAGGCTTGACATCACAATGGATAATCTTTTGTTGACAACCTCTGTGCAAGTATGCAAGCCCACGCGCCGTTCCAAGAGCTATTTCGACCCTTTCCTGCCATTCTAAGACTGGTCCATTACCAAAAAGGGAGCGGTCTAAAGAACCACGATTCATATACTCATAAACCAACAGTCTTTGTCTTCCCTCAGCACAAAATCCTTTCAACTTGACCAAATTGACATGGTGCACATTTCCAATAACTGCGATCTCAGTGCAGAACTCATTCTTCCCTTGAACACCTAAACTGGTGATCTTCTTTACTGCCACTAGGGATTTATCAGGGAGTGTACCCTTAAATACTGCACCAAATCCACCTGACCCAATCTGCGTCTTAAAATTATCAGTAGCAGCATCAAGCTCTTTATATTCAAATCTTATTGGCAATCCTGGGATAGAGAAGGCATCCAAGTTCCCTGAAGAAGGGGAAGTTTGGTAGCCTAATTTTCCCGTTCCTGTCTTTGCGAGCCTAGATCTTCTCCACCAGAAAAATCCCATCACGACTAACAGGAAGAACCCAGTGAATGGTAAAAGCACTAAAGCAACTAAAGGAAAATCTTGTGTTTGACTACTAGAACTATTATTACCACCAAAGTTTGCTGGTGAATCTTTAACCAAAGTTTTAATAAATCCTAACCGATCATCATCACTTGTGGTACTTGACATTATCGATCCCAATGCATTTTCAAGCACATAACAAGAACCAGATAAGTTTTCAAAGAATACTCCCAAGCAAGAGCAGTCTGCTGAGCATAGATCTTGACATGTCGATAAGTTTACACCGTATTTGACAGGCATGGCGAAATCATTTGCAAAGTAGTCCACGCCATAGCCAAGCCCCAAATATGAGACTGATGACAAATTCAAACCACTATTGATATAGGTTGAATTACAAGCAACCGGCAAAGAATTCAAATCATCACTTGGCACACAACTCTTCGTATTCTGTGAACTAGCACGGAAATTAGATGGACAAGAACATACGGGAGTATCTGATGCAGTATCATCAGCACACAACCCAATCCTTCCACAAATGAATGGAATTTGGCATTCATCAACTGGACCCACAAATTCCTGCTTTTGGGCAGCAGCAGGAAAGCTGCTAACTATGAACTGTCCAGAGTCATCCAACTTGGCAATTCGAAAGTCCGATGGGAACAAGTTCACCTGAATAATGACCACAGATCCATTTTTCCCTAACAGCCAAAGGCCAGTTTGGTTTAACGCCATATACTCCACTGCATAATTCAAGTTCACATAGGCATTAATATCCATGGACAATTTCCAGTATGTCATACCCCGCCATTGCAGAATAGCATCTGAGGCAGTAATTGCAAGCCTGTAATCACCGGTTGACAAGTCACTATTTGAAACAGCACTGGATAGCACTATGCCAACAGGCAAGTGTTGTCCAATCACAACTGTGTCAGTTGGGTAATCGAAGCTCTCCCAGAGTGTCTCATTTAGTTGATCAAGCAACACAAGACTCCCCATCTCAGTTAGCTGTAGTAAAGACACCGATGACTTCAATGGTGGAGTTGCCCATTTGAAACTGCCGTCCCGATCAGTGATGGCAATGCCGTTGACAGTTAGACTCATCTCTCCTGAATTTGATATGGGTGCATCATGATTAGCAGACCAGATGATGATGTTGGACGCCACGTGGACAACGCACAAGTAGAAGTTCGTTTGTTGAGTACCAGGATTAAGCATGGAAGCTTTGAATGTTCCATTGCGAGAAAATAAGAAACTTCCGCTGCTATCAATGAATCTAAGATTCGAAGCAGTGAAGTTTGGATATATGAACTCAGATGAAGAAAGACCAGAAACAACAACCCAAGATAAGGAGACAGTAAGGAAGAGCAAAAAGGATTCCATACAGAGTAAGGGAAGAACAGAAATGGGTGGGATGAATTGTCCAGGTAAGGTTGGAATTGGTCTGCTCTGGCTTTTTCATTTGTTTTCTCCACTTGTGCTTCTGAATTTTACGTTGACTACAAGACCTCTCTCTCTCTACCCACACCAGCTGGACACTGATCTGCCCAAGAAGACATGGGTTCACATTTGGTGCTAACATCCGCTAGGGGGATAAATATACAAAACTCAATGAAGGTAGTACCTCAGTATGGCTTATTTAATTCGAAGATGAACGGACTATCGCGCACTACCACCTTATTTGATATACATGATTCCCGACAAACAACTCGTTTACTTTGAATTTTATATTCGCACAATAGCCGCCACCATTCCCTTTTTTTTTTTTTTTCTTTTGATTAAAAACTAAACCAGCGACGCTAAGTTCAAAAATTAAAGCAAACAAGGAACTTCACTGCGATAAAACATCAGAATATGTCTTATAATCACAACACTCATTTTTTTATGGTAAGTCCTTTATATATAAACAGCACCAACCAATGTAAATAAACAATAAAAGCAAAGAAACCAATGTCATTGAAGCATAAGAACAAACACTTGGTGAAACGAGCAAGCATGTACCAGTTGGGTTATGGAGCTCCCACCTCCAAGAGCCGAGAACGACATTACAACACGACCAATGCCGACTGGGTCAATCCAGATTGCCATAAATATTGAGGGTATTGCCTAAACTAAACTTGACCTCGGTCCCTTCGGAACGCACTAAACTTGGTTCCACGGGTGAGAAAAAACGGGAAGGAAGAGATTGGGGCTGAGGCGAAGAGAGACAAGAGTGAGACAGAAGATAAATGGGAGAATTAGACGCTGAAAAGTTTATAAACGCGCAACATTTAGATGTTACCGTCGATGTCTATCCATTCCTTAGTTATATATAAATTAAAAATATAATAAATAAAGGTAAAATACCAATTATTTTAAATTTTACAACTAAAATTTATATTCTATTATGATATTTATTAAAATAAAATTAAAAATATAAATATAATATTTTCTTAAAAAATTATAATTAATATATAATTATATTTTCTTTCATAATTAACACAAGTGGCTAGTTCGGTTGAAATAGAGATAGAGGGTAAATTCAGGCGTCTTAAATTTAAAAATTAATAATTTTTTTAGGTCAACTAATAAGAAATTTATTTTTTATGAATTTTATAGTCCCGTTGTGAATGACCTCTTTTGATTAGATTGGGAAGAAAATTACTTAAAGTACGCGTAAATTAGTTCAAATATTTTTTACTATAATACCCAAAAAATAAAAAATCTTTGATAATTACATGAGGAAGACAAAATTTAATTGCCGACTATTGCAGGATCTTTCACTTAAATGAAACCAAAAAACATGTCAAACATCAATGGAAGGCAACGACAATGAATAATGGTGGATGGATTAAACCAAAATAAATTATAAAATCTCACTTAAATGAAATTAAAAAAAAAACATGTCAATCATCAATTGAAGGAAACGTCGATGAATAACTATGAAGCACAGATACTTTGTTGAGATTGACGTGCTCGTATCGGATACTCAAAAATATGTATCGGATACACCTTTTACGTATCCGATAATAATTAAATATTAGAATACTTCACGGATACTTTTATAGTTAAGCAATATATTTAATTTTTTAGTTAAACTTTTAACATATTTTTTCTAGTTCACATACCATCCAATACGTTAACAAAAAAAATCATATTACTTCAAAGGTACATGAGTGTTTTTTAAGTATTATTTACAATTATATAAAATAAAGCTATTACATTATAATTTTAGCAAAAGTTATTTCTAAATACTTGATAAATATTATCTTTAATTCCTTTAATTAGTCACTTCACTTTATGAATATACCACAGCGACATGATATATATTTTCTTAAAACTAAAAAAAATTACTAATTTTTCTTATTATATGTTAAAAAACTAGCAAAATACATAAATATTAAGTTTGTTGGAAATAATAAAAATATTAAATATATTTTATTATAGTTGTATCTTGGCCGTACCCGTATCCTACTTTTTTAGATTTTGCCGTATCGCCGTATTCATATCATATACGTATTCCGTATCCGTGTCCGCGTCCCATATGTGAATAACGTGGATTGATTAAATTAAAAATAATTATGAAATCTGACCAGTTAAACCAAACTAATCCTACCACCCAATCACCTTCGTTGTCAATGCTTTTAATTTTTTTTTTAAATGACGGAGCCCTTTTAAGGCTTTATGTAATTACTCGATAATTATTTTTATTAGTTATATTCGAGATGAATAAGTGAGTCAAATTCAAGAAATTATAACCTATAACGTCAGGAATTTAACTCCACAAACCATTGAACTACTCATCTACATCCTCGATTCTTTAAAGTTGTGATTGTCGAAATATACTATCATAATTTGGAATGTCCTTTTTTCATGTTGCTGTTTGTTTTTCAAGTATATACCACAATCTGGTTATAAAATACTTCTCATCGAAAGGACTCCATTCTTTCAACTCCTTTTATCATGGTTCAAGTGAATTCTAGCAATAAAATTCTAAAAGAGATTCTTAATCTCATCAAACATATACACAAGGCCATATATGATTGGGTCCAACTATCCTTAAACTTGCCAATTAAACCATATGATCAAATCCATGTAGTTGTCAATTTTTTTATTTTGAACGGTAGATACATGAAAAAAGAGTAACAATATTCGAATCCATATCTCAAAAATCTGTCAACAAATACGGTTTTCAATGACTTACCTCAGTTGCAATTCTCACACATCTCTCGAATCTCCACCGGACGTCTATTGCAAGAGCATGACACAAATTGTTTGATTATAAAACACATATTTTAATACGATTGTTAATTTTGAATACGATATAAAATTAATAGAGTTTAATAAATTGGGATGAACTGTTATTTGACACAACCACTAAAACAACATTGATCTTCTAATACAAATAATAAGCAAATATTCAATTTTAAGACAACAAACTTGAATTAGTATTATATGAAGAAAATTTACATTATTTTTTTTTTGTAGCGTTTTGTTCCAATGTCTTACGAATCCTCGCAATATTACATGTTTTCTAACTGAATTAGCTAGTATTTAAATCTCTCCCTCCTCTTTGCTTTGCTAGCATCCTTTGATAAAGAAGGAGAATGAACCTTTTAAAAAAAGGCCTATTTGAGAGACTTCCGGCGGCCAGTACGCACCAGAGCCCTCAAACAAGCCTTTGGGAGTAATCAAGAAAGCCTTTAAAAAAGCTTTATGTGGATTTACTTGTCATCTTCTTTGTTTTAGCTTCGCTAGCTTTCCTTTTCAACTCGGAAGCACTTAGCCTGTCCAACAAGCAAGCACTTAAGCCTTTTCAACAGTGTAAGCTGATCCAACTGATGCGAGAATTCCACCTCAAGCACCTATTTCTTTTGTACCTTCATGAATTTTTTTTTTTTCTGCAGGCTTATGAGTCGTCGACTTGTTTGCCATAGAAAGGAGTTCTAACTCTGGATTTCTGACCACATGATACGGGATATAGCTATGGTACTAACAATATTCTACCTTATTTGATCACGACTATAGATTTTAGTTTGAATGATTTCAAATCATTGTTGAACAACAATTAGTAAACAACAAATAATTTACATGTTATGCTGTAGCTGGATGACAATTGGGCATTCAGTATCAAAAAGTTGTTTTTTAGTCCCGTAATCGGACCCTATGAGACAATTAATTAAACAAATTATGAGGAAATTCTCTAATATTCGACAAGAAACGACTTTACTCTTTACAGTATTTCTCCTCACCAAGTATATACAACAGGCCATACATTCCTCTCCTGCTCGAAATGACAACTTAGGTAGTCCACAAGTTTGAAACTGAGATTCACAATCCAGCAAAGAATTGTAATGCGAACATTGTCTAACACACCACATTCCCACCATAAGGAAACTGGGTTGCAAACTTAAAATGCGGATGTTGAAAGAAAAAACAATCTTGCTTTCATATGCTACTCGGAAAAAATAGGAAAAAGATGGAGTAGGCTTTACGATGGCAATGCAAAAACAAGGTGGAACAACAGTGGAAACCGAATCCAAATTCCCTCGGGTATTTTCTCTTTCAATTTCTTCAATAAAAGGAATTTCATTCCATGGAAAGCTTGAAGGGGAAAACGAGCAAAAGACCAGCTGCTGGTGCAAAGAATACTCACTTGGAAAAACATGAAAAATACAAGTCCCCATAAATAAGAGTGGACTCGCGTACCAAGCACCAAATGGAAATATTATTGAAATTTCTGGTGCATTGGCTAATTTGGATCTTTGAATTCATATGAAAGCAACAAAAATTAGCACTTACTCCATCCACATGAAAATTTTGAATTCCCAAGGTAAACAAACCATCAAAATCTGATTTTGCATCATCAGATAGCTGCATATCGAACTAAGGGATAAATATATTGATACCACTTGATCACCTCCGATGTAAGTTTCAGCCAGCTCTGATTCCTAAACACCAACTAGAGCATACTTTTGCTCTACCCAATCCGAAATTTGTTACAGGATTCTCTCAACATTTCATAGCATAATCAGCAGTACTCCATGATGAATACCACCCAATGACCTCTGCACATAGACCAGTTATTGGAAAAGGTATTTGTCAGTCAAAGTTAACCAGTAAGCACATGATTGGTTGAAGAAACATTAGTTATTTTAGCTAGATGACACCATTTATGAAGAGCTCCTAGTCCTACGACCAATAAATCGGCAATTCATTAGCTCATCAAACAAATGGATTTCTCACACAAAATCTACGCAATCCTTACCTCAAGTAGCATCAGCATACAATTACCATGGCTTACATCAATCCACAACAAAACTTCACCAATGTTAATAGACCAGGCTTCCTAGACTCAGTACGTAATGCACGCAAACGGTGAAAAGGAATACCCATACAACGCATACAAAAAAAAAAGTAGTGTCATGCTATAAATAAAGGGCAAAAATAGAGTTTTGGTCTCCAAACTATGAACTTTGTGTCAGTTTAGTCCCTAATCTTTTAGAGTAATACATTTTAGACTTAAAAATCTGACATAATTTGCCGATATAATGATGTGGTTTCATAGGAATCATTTGATCAACACCAAATTCCAATGTTTGATGGAGTCTACGGTCAATCCAAATGTCACAATACATTAGGTTAGCAAATTATGTCAGTAAATTAGGTCCCAATAGCATTGTTTAATCTTTTAATTGTGTCAATTTTATCCCCAAACTCACAGATTTGTGTTTTAAATGGTCCACTCTCAAATGTCCATTTGAAAAACTGACAGAACTGTCCTTATGATATTCACGTGAACTTTTGAAAAGGGCATTTTCCAACCCCAAACTTATTAAATCGTTCGAACGCCTCAAATCGTTTCCAGATTGTTAATCCAACGATCCTAATTGATTCTCAAATTTGTTTTCCTACCCAATAATTGGACTTAGAGTTTCGTTCCATTTCCAAAACTAGAGTCCCATCTCTCTTCTACTTTGTTCTATTTCTAATACTAGAATTCCATCTCTCCTTTACCTCTGTCAACTTTATCAGGTTTCTATATATATATATATATATATATTTATAATAATAAGATAGAGTGTATTTCAAATCTCTAAAATTGGGAAAACACAAGAACGACTCAGATTCAATTTCAATTTAATTGAACGACCAAGATCTCATATAAATTCATCAAATCTAATCCAATGCCTCACAATACATATCACATAAAACCAAAATCCCGCCCAAACGTTTGCACACCTCCCAATTCCATCACCACACTCTTTTCCTTCTCTCTCTGCGAGCTCTCTCTCTTTTCTCTAAGCGATCTCTCTCTGTGCCATGGCGCAGCCCACCGCCGGTGATAACCACGCTCACTCTCTCTCTCTCTCTCTGCCATGGCTCAACCACCAACGTGACAACGTCTCCCTCTATCTGCCATGGCTGTTCTGCCATCACCCAAGTACCTCCCTCTCTCTATCTCAACTCTAGTCTCCCACCCCCTCTGTCTCACGTCTGACTGACACACACACAAACACACAATCAAACACAAGAGCAGCAGATCAAGCATCTACCATGTCTTCCTCCCTTTGCCATTGTCTAGGTACTGTTTAGAATTTTTGTTTCTTCTAGGCTACCCATTGTGAATTATTTTCTGGACTTTGATTTGATTTTTAATTTTTATTTAAATTTTGTTGCAGACTTTGGTGTCTATCATTGATAAATTGGATAATCTTATTCTTAGAAGAAGAGGCATGTGATATGGGAAGACACTGAGAAAACCCAACTAGTCTAGGTTGTGATTTATATGTAAGATTTGTGTTTTGATATGGGTTTTCTTTAAATTTCCCATGATGGATTTTGGTTATTTTATGCTTATATGATCTTGATATGGTTATTGATATGGGCTTTGATTGGTCTCCACCTTTTCATAGTCCTCCTCTTTATAATGAAAGGATTGTTTTGAAATAAATTTTGATTGAGAAATGCCTCATCCGCTTAGGCAAAAAATAGAGCATAAACGTGAACAACATTCGAGGCATTTTTTTCTTGGTATTCTAGAAATGCCCTTATGAGTGGTCACGTGGTGTTCACTTGACTAGTTCAGTAAGTTTTTTTCAAAAAACGTTTGTGATTGGACTATTTAAGTACAAATTAAAAATTTTAGAAACCAAATTAACACAATTAAAAGAATGGGGACCAAATTGACATAAAGCGCACAGTTTGGGAACTAACAATACATTTTGGCCATACTATCTACACTACAGAATAGTATTTAAATATTGATCAGCAAAAACAGAGCCATACTATGTAAAATATGAAATACTGAAACTCAACTCATCAGAACAAATCCATGTCCCAATATTTTTGGGGTCGGCTATGGAATACAAAACTGATAAAGAAAAAAATTACCAGATCTACTTTGAAGGCAAAATTTATTAGAATTATTGTTGTGATGTCCTCGGCTTAGATGAAAACTCCTAATATTCAAAACTAGGGTACTTTTGAGAGAACTTCAAATAGACAAAACTTTTGCCAGATAGCTTCAAATATTCACATTCACCCATTGGTTAAGAAAAAAAGCAATGCCGTTTAAAATGATGACCACTAAACATGCACAGTTGAGTCATAAAAGGAAAAATATTCTTTAAGAGAAGCATTATTGTTCCTAATTATGCTGGTTACTGCACTAAATGCCAATGTATCAAGAGAACATTCCACGAAACCAACTAACAAAATTAAAATAGTCAACAAGCTAAGTACTCATAAGAGATTACCTCATTTAACGTATCCACCTAAACTGCAATCAATGTTTACTATTTCCTTTTACTCTTAGGTTTAGAGGGGATTTTCCCATATGCCATAAGCCTCGAATGTGATAATTTAAGTTCAGCTTGACGATGCCGTCTCCTGCTTTTTCTGGAATGATTGCCCATATCACCAACCAATTCCTCCCCTTGAGATTTCTTAATTCCAGTGGCACCAACATCAGTAGCTGGTTTCTGACCATTGCCTCTTGAATTCTTCTCACCAGTCTTCCGTACATTTGACATCACTCCTTCAAGAAGTGCTTTATTCCTTTGTTTCTGATTGAAAGTCTTAATACGGGGCACCTTCCATTCCTTCTCCTTATAAGGAGCCAGCTTCTTCAGAGAAACATACTGATTTAACTCCTTGTCATCCATCGTAAAAATTTCCTCGGTACTTAGTCCATATCTTTTAGCATTAACAGGTTTGTACTTGAACCTTGTCTGCAAGTCCCCAATTGTATCCTCATAATCCAACTTATAGTACTCATCCATCAAGTCATCCCTAAATGCCTTTTCCACAGTAGAAATTTTATGCTTTTTCTTCCGCTCACTCGTTTCAGGAACTTCTTCTACTTTTATCTGCCCATTGTCATTTTCCAAACTACGTTTTAAATTTCTTTCCCTAACAGCAAGGAACCCATCACCAGACCCATATTCATCATCCCAACCTTTCGGAAGTTTAAGTAACTCATCTTCTTTATCAAAATCCGGTTTTTCAAGTTCACCACCATCACTGTCACTCCCAAACTCAGGATTCACATCATCTGCCTCGTAGTAATCGTCAGCAAACGCTTCTTTCATCTTCCTATCATGCTCCTCGGGATCCCATTCCTCCTCCAAATCATCCTCATCCAACAGAAAAGCCTCATCCTCCCCAATTCCTGCAGTCTCCCTAATCGTTCTTAACTTCTCATTTATATCCTTTTTTTTCAAATTCTTCAAATGCTTCAACTCCTCCTTCCTCTCGAACTCTGCCTGAGCCATCCTCTCCTCTTTCCTCTCCCTCTGCAACTTCCTCGCGTTTGTCGTCTTCCTCACCGACCCCTCCACAATCCGTGAATGACCCATCACCCTATCACCCACATTCTCCTCAAACCTAAAATTAAACTCCCTTTCATAATCCTCTTGACGATCAATCTCCTCCTCATCCTCCGAAAACCCCAACCCCTCCTCATCCAACCTGTTCCCACCCTTATCCTCCTCCACCCACATCTTATTCCTAAAATAATCCTTCAAAAACTTCATATTGTCATCCAACTTCCCGTCCTCCCCAAAATACTGATCCAACTTATTCGCAATCTCCCCATTACCCTTCCCATCCTCAATTTCATTTTCTCTACTCTCTTTCATCTTTAACAAATCCCCCTCTTCATCTGCACCCTCCTCGACTGCATTCAAAAATGCTTTTCTCAGCTCCTCCTGCTCCTCTCCATAGCTCTTGACACCACCCATCTTTTTATCTTCTGTGTCCTCAAACTCTGGACCTTCTTCAATCAAATGCTTGGAAACCACATCTTTTAAATACATGGGTTTTTCTTTCTTAACCTTCTTACCATTTTTTCCTTTCTTAAAATCCTGCCTAGCCTCTATTTTATCCTTCTTACTGTCATCATTTTCCGACACGGATTCGGACTCGGACTCTTCCGACTCAAATAACTTAGCTTGTTGGTTTCTAAGAACTGGGTCTTGGTTTCTCACCTTCAAAAGCGCATTGAAGAACTCCAAATCATGCTTACTTGAATTTATCAACCCGTCTTCTTCGGAGGAATCATCGGATGACTCTTCACTGCCGGAATTTGAAGAATGCTCTATGAGGCCTTTCTTCTTAAGCTCTTCAAATCTTTGCAAGTCCTCACGTTTCTTGTTGTGCTCGTAGCGGCGAGCGTACTCTTTGTTGATTTCGATTTTTGAGATATCGTCCTCCGAGACGTCACCGCTACCGTCGAATAGCTTCAATCCCATTGTTGGTTTCTCCGATTTAGAGTTTTGAAAACAAGGTCGAGCTTCTCAGATTTAGGGGTTTTTTTTATTCGAAGGTAAACTGAAATCAGATATCAGATTTAGCGTGTCTCGCAGTAGGGTTTCGGTATTTGTAATGTTGGGGAAACCGGGCTTCGGTCTTTGCAATATGGTTTCGGTCTTTGCAATGAATATTTTTTCTAGGTTCCGTTTGGTTAATAGGATAATAAATTAATAACAGAAAATGTAAGATGGAGAAATTTTTAAAATTTTTTATGTGTTTGGTTAGCATGAAATAAAAAATATAATTTTTTTTCATGTTTGAATTTTTTCATAATTAACCAACTTTTTTTTTCTTGTAAAAAACATAAAGAAATGCAAAAAAGTTGTGATCTATATCTAATTTCTCATTTTATCCTTATTTTTTTTAAGATATTTTATTGATTATTAATTTAAAAAAATATTAGTATAAATTTCATTAACTATATAATTTGGTCTACAGACTTCGTGCGGGTGTTTGTTATAGAATTAGGTTACAACCCACTTTTTTTTAAAAAATTTAACTTTCAATTATAATACATATTTTTTCTTTTTTAGGCCGATTTAATATAATTAAGGATAATTGAGACAATCAAAAAAAATTTATTATAAATTTACTTGCTTTCAAACAACAAAATAAATTTTTTTTTAGACTTTCTTGCAATTTTTTCATCTTAATCAAATACATGAAAGAAAATATATTTTTTGTCATTTTTTTTTCTTTCACTTCACTTTCTATCATTTTTACTTTCCATTATTCTTTTCTTTCTAACTAAACGGACCCTAGAGAAAAACAGCATCAATGTTGTTAGTAAGTTAAAACAGTGTCATTTCAAAACTTTTCACAATAAAAAGGAGCAAGAGGTCCACAAAATATGACTTATCGTGTCGAATTATAAATTTTTTGGGTGTAAAATAATAAAATAGTCTTTGCCATTATTTAAATAAAATGAAAAAAAGTATACAAAAAGAGAAATGTCATTGAGATCTAAAAACTTAGTATAATTTGTTGATTTAATGTTGTATCAACTGATAAAATTATAATACAGATATTCAACAGTTACAATCACTCCAATATTATTGGACTATAGTATTATCAAATCATTAATTTAATAAATTAAGTCCTTTAGAATTGTCCCACCACCTCACCACTACCACCCCCACCGCAACCCCACCACCACAACTAACCCCCACCAACATCACCCCTACCGTCATCACTATCACTATTACCACTACCGCCATCATCACCTCTGCCACACAACCATCATCGCCACTGTAGTTGTTGTCACCATAACTATCACTACCCCATCGCCACCACACCCCACTGTCCCACTCACAACTACCATCACCCCAACTACCTCCACCACCACCAATGTTGTCGTCACCCTACCACCACCATCGTCGCCGTCACTCCACCATCACCACCATCGTTTCCAACACCACTGTTGCCACACCATCACTAAAGATGGCAATGGACTAGGTAAAAATGGGTATTTGTCCAAATTCATATTGTTTGGACTAGAGATGAACCATAAATATTAAACAGTGGACGTATACAAGAATATCCGTATAAACTCGTGCAGAGATGAAGACGAAGATGGACTGACACTTACTCCCTCTCCGCCCCGCTTTACCCGTTATTATTATTATTATAAATACAAATCTACATATTATTAAATAAATTTTTCTTAAAATTATTTTTTTTTGGGACATTTTTTCATGTTTTTTACTTATAAAAGTGTACATCTTTGTGTTTTTTGTATTTTTTATGTTGGATTATATTATATTGCATATGTTGTGTTGCATTGTGTTGTGTTGGATTTATATGGGAGACAAGATTTTAATTATATTATGTTGAATTATCTTATCAATAACAAGTTTTTAATTATATTATGATATTCTATAGTTATGTTGAATTATTGAAAATGTTATATTTGTTTAGAATTTTGAATTATGTTGACTTGAACTTGGGCTTGGCCTAGGACAGGTAAGGTAGACAGGGGCGGGGGTGGGGGACAGGGATTACAAATTTACCCGCGAACAAGGATGAGGATAAAAAATATACCCGTTAATTGGGGGTGGATCGAGGATGACGGAGTTTTTTTAAAAAGTTGCGGGGATGAAGATTATACCTCTGCTCCCACTTTAGTCCATTGTCATCCCTACCCACCACCACCATCCCACCACCACCACCACTACCACTGCCACTGCCACCACCCTACCACCACCCGTCACTATCCCACCATCACCCCTACCACCACCACCCCCTACCGTTCCACTGCCACTATCCCACCATCACTCTTACCTCTACCACCCTTATTGCCCCACCACCACTGTCACGACCATAAAACCACCATCATTGCCACCACTACCGTCACTGCCCTACCGTCACCGCCACCCCCCAACTACCACCATCACCACCCCCACTAATTACTATCAATGTTGTCCACCACTATCGTCATCTCATTCTTATATTTATTACTATTAACATCATCATCCCACTCCTCTATCGCACCCACCATCATCACCACTGTCCCCACCACCGCCCCACTACCATCACCATTTCCACTACCCCCACCTCCACCCCTAGCCCATCCCCACTATTAGGGGATGTAGTTGATTGGGTAAACATAGGTATTCGTCTAAACCCGTTCTGTTTGGATCGGAGACGGACCATATGTATTTGACGGTGGACGTATACGAAAAAACCCGTATAAACCTATACAAGGATGAAGGCGGGGATGGATTGACACTTACCCCCCATCCCACCTCCGCCTCGCCCATCTCATCCCCGCCCCCGTTTTACCCGTTATTATTATTATTATAATATACATGTTGTTGTGAATACAAATCTACATATTATTGAATAATTTTTTCTTTTGAAAATTATTTTATTTATTTTATTTTTGTTTCTTGTTTTTGACTTGTAAAAGTGTAGATCTTTATGTTTTTATATTTTTTTATGTTGAATTGTGTTATGTTATATTATATTGTGTTGTATTTATATATGGGATATAAACTTTTAATTATGAGCAATGCTAGTGGGATCTAATTTATTGACCTAATTTACTATGATTTTTGAATCAACTATGGGCTCTATCAATATTGGAACTTAATGTTAATCCAATGGTTTCACTGAAATCACATTATTATGTCAATAAATTAGGTTAGATTTTGAGGTCAAAATAGGATTACTCTTTAATTATATTTGCCTGATTATGTTGTAGACAATGTTTTAGTTATATTATGTTGAATTATGTCATAAATAACAAGCTTTTAACTATAATTAAGTTAGATTATTTAGAATGTTATGTTGGCTTGGATAGGCTTGGGTGGGCTTGGGCTGGGCGGGGTAAGGTGGACGGGGTCGGGAGGCGGGGGTGGAGATTACAAATTTACCCATAAACAGAGATGGAGATGAAAACTATACCTGTTAACAGGAATGGACCGAGGATGAACGAATTTTTTTAAATGGGTACAGGGATGAAGACTATACCCCCACCCTCGCTTCAGTCCATTGATATCCCTACCCACTGTCACCCCCACCACCATCGCCATCCACCATTAATTGCTATCATTGTCATCCACCACCATTACTTTCATCATCTCATTCTTATATTTATTACGACTACTACCATCATCTCACTACTACTGTCGTCCATTGCCATCACCCACCACCATCATTATTGCCCACCATTAAACACTGTCCCCCATTACCACAACCCATCACCACCTCGTTGTCATTCACCATTATCGATCATTCTCACCACACTTATCACCACCGCCGCCATCACCATTCCTCACCGCTTATCACATTGTCGTCCAGAAGCACTTGTCACCACTTATCACCACCACCATCGACATTGCCTACCATCACAACCCACTACCACCACCATTATTATCGTAGCCCTACCACCACCACTGTCAACCACCATCATCGTCACCCACCGTGGTCGTCGCCACCCACCACAACAATTATCATCTCTCACTTATATCACTACCGTTCACCATCATTACCACCACTCACTCCCCACTACAACCGGTGCTTAAATTCCTTTCTCTCTCCTCTATGTTTGTGATTTGATTTTGTATATGAATACAAATATATTTATTATTGACCATTTTTTTATTTTTTTTATTATTTCATTTTTTCGGCACGAGCAATAACTAGTCCACAAACAAGAGAACGAGTGGGGTAGGTGAGCCCTATAAAATTCAATAACCATTATCTATATGTAACATATAATCATTTGCATGTACAAAAATGGGGTCCATTTTATTTAATTTTAAAAATTTTTATTAGACGTTTATATCACGTAACAGTGACGATGATGTAACCAATAGAATGAATTATAATTTAAACTCTTAAAAGTATTGATACAATTCTTATTTGATTTCCCGAGTTGCGATTTAAAAAATTTATGTTTCAATCATATATTTCCGTCAAGTTCCTTTTCAAACACCAAATTTTGTAAAAACAATAATTCTCGTTTCAGACAAACATTGATCGGGAGTGTCAATAAAATATCAAATAAGATGAGAGGCATCGTTGAAATTAGCTTATTTTCGGATGGGTGTGGCTGAAATTTACATTTATTTCTTTAATTAATATGAAATTACATCTATATAATAAAATAACTTACAATTCAAATTTCAAAAGATAAACAAAATGATTTTTGCTATTCGCGATTAAGATGACTTTAAATTTTACTTTAAATTTAATCTAACAGTTAATATTAATACCCTCCATTTAATAGAAAAAAATAAACCCTAAGGGTGTGTTTCGAGTGACTTTTTAAAAGTAATTCTACAAATTATTTCTCATTAATATTTTTTTTAAAATAACGTTTGAAACTGTCTCACCACTACCTCTACAACCATCGCCGCCACCGCCGTCGCCCCACCACCGCCGCCACTGCCGCCACCATCGCCCGCGCCACCACCACTGTCGCCACCACCCTCATCTCACCCCCTACTGTTACCCCCACCACCACCGCCATCGCTGTCACCCCCACTCCACCATTGTCATCACTACCTCAACAGTCATTGTCATCTATCACAACTATTATCGTCTCTTACCACCACCACCACTGTTGCCCACTATCTCTCATCCCTATTACAAATCGATGT